GCTTTAAATCTCATATTTTTCCCCAAACTAAAACTCATGAGGAAAAACTACTTCACCTATTTACTAACCACAAAAAGAAACAGTGAGCTGCTTCATGTCACGCTCCTGACAAGAGTTACGATGGGGCAGATATAACCCGCTGAGAGCAGTGCAGTTCATGCCAGCCTGATGATTCCACGAAACACAGGAAAGAGTTCCACATTCCACTTTTGGAATTGACTGGAGATTTTGCTTCCATCCTTTGTGTTCTCTCGCCATTAAATTTGGAGACAGAAATAAATTCCAGAAGTGTTTTGAGGGTGGAGTATGAAAACTAAAACAAGACGAATAGTCACTGACTCGTTTTAATGACTTTTGTGTGTTGATGCAGACATGAAGTCTTTGTCCATGAAATGGAGCATTGTGGGTTAGTCTGGCTCCTCCTTCGTTCTGCTGATAATCTAAGTGATAATAAAGTACAATCTGCACCAAGTCATACATCAAAACAGCTTTTCAACATTCAGTTGATCATAGCAGTACTTAAAGGTCCTGAGGTGGTCCATTATAATGAGTCTGTTATCATTAATGTTCATTACCTTTATAAGAACCCCAGGAAGTCCAACGATCTGTTTTATTTTCTTATCATTCTCTTGCAGTGATGGCCGATTTAATGAAATATTCAGATTACATCTGGCCCTCAAAGACACAAACTAATTGCATTGTCAAAGCACAAACCATGACTTCAGTGGCTTGATCTGTGGACAGACCGTAAGAAACTGAATGCTGAAATGGATTATAGGATGATAATCGAAATCTTGTTTGAAATCTGTTCATGCCTATATTTTCTTAAAATGCCAGGATAAAGACAAGTTACAAGGAAAGAAACACCAACAATAAAACCAATAATACTATCCGACCAATCAGCAAGTCGTTTCATTCTTAAAAATAGTATAAGCTTAAAAAAACAAGACACAAAGTCAAATAGAAATGTTCTAGATTCTTGTATAACTAAAAATAATATTTGATCGAAAGTACAGTAAAAAGAGTAATATTGTGATGAATTGTGATAAATTAAAATAAAATTTATTCCTGTGATGGCTGTTTTTTTTAGCAGCCATTACTTCAATCTCCAGTATCATATGATCCTCCAGTAATCATTCCAATATGCTGATCTGATAATAAATAAATAAATAAATAAATAATAATAATAAAATAAAAAAATTCCTTGATGAATAGAAAGTTCAAAATAACCGCATTTGTTTGCAACAGATTTTCTTGCAACATAGTAAAAAGTCTTGATCAATTTAACATATCCTTGCTGAATTAAAGGACTAACAATAAAAAAGAAATATTTTACTAATCCCAAACCCAAATTTGTGTATGGTAATATACATGAACATACTGTCTTGGTTGAATACATCCTTAACATCCTCATGTTAAACTACACTCAAATGAACCTACTAGAAAGACATGCCAACTGATTATTTTCTTGATTTCCACCCAATTTTCCTCCATTAGAAAGAAATGGAGAAAATAACATTTTGGAATTACTTTGAAGATTAAGATGCTGTCTTTGAGAGCATGCATCTTTGGCTTCGCTCGACATCCCATCCTAAACGCATGTGCACACACACTCTCAGCCCAAATGAGTGCACCCCACACCAAAGAGAGCCGTCTGTTGAAATGATGTGCTCTGCTCTGTAAATTAGCTGAGCTGGTTTAAAATATGAAGTCTGTGAACCATCAGCACTGCAAATGGCCATGAGTGTTGACTCCCCATAATCTGTCTCTATTAAACTCTCTCCCAACACACTTTGAAGTACTATGGTGAGGAGAGAGCATATGTGTGTGTGTGTGATCACGTATGTCGGCTTCATGTCAAATAACATCAAAGTTACTTACGGGAAATTCAGTCTGGTCCTAATTCATTTATTTGACAATGTACCAACTGACGGAAGGGTGCATGAAATGTAATGGTCTATTTCATACAAATTGCAATGACCTGTGTGTCATTTAAGGGTCACAGTATGAGTTTTGAGGACCCGATTTAGCTCAGAAACAGGTAGAAAGCATTCACAACTGCCAATTATGCACCAGGGACAAGTGCTTTACGTACATCCCTGCTACACAGTATTCAAAAAAGCTGAAATGAGTAGGACTAATATATTCATGATAGACCACAGTCGAACATTCAGATGACACACATTGTAAAAAATGACTTCTCAATACGTTTCTAATGAGTTTTTCAGTGAAATATATAACAATACTTAAAGCAAGATAAATTTACTTGAAAAGCAGCACTGCATATTAGAGATTGCTTCTCTCTCTCTCTTTTTTTACAGATTATGTCTTCACTGTGTTTTTGTCTCATTTGTTTTTAACTTGTTTAGACTTAAAACAAGTGAAAATGCACTCACACTCTCTGAAAACAAGTATTAATATCTCATGGAGTGTTGCTTCTTAAGTAAATGTGTCTTGTTTTAAGGATTTTAACTGGAAAATTAGACAAAAATATTCATTAGGAATAAATAACATTATTTTATGTAATGAAAGTTGTTGTATAAAAGTATATTTGCTAAAAGTTAATCAACTTTTAGCAGAGTACTAACATGTAGACATTCTCAGAATCCAAGTTCATGGCCTAAATAGTTTTGATTTCATAGGCCATTAACAATCTTTTTGGGAAACCAAAGGGAATGTTTCAGAGAAACTGAACCTATATAAAGTGCATTATAAATTACTTTAGATAAAAGGATCATCTAAATGACAAACGAGTAACTAGTTCTTTGAAATTGAATATCATATCATTTTTGGTTAGAGACTTCGACAGATTTAAGTCCTATCCAAAAAAATCCCTGAAGGATATCGTAATTTATATATATATATATATAATTTTTTGAGGTCTTGACGTTTCATTATATTAATATTGCTCAGAGGTTGCTAATTTATAGCTCAGGAGACTTAATGTTGTTCTGGGTTATATAGATATAGATATATTGATATAGATTTGATATAGATACATTGATATAGAGGAAGAGTATGGATAAACCTGAGCAAAGTGTAAGACACTGTTGAGATCTCTTGTGAAATGCTTGAGGAGACACATCTGACTGAGAATCATGAGACTTTAGTAAATGGACAAATGTAAAAAGGCCTGCAAATTGGTTTTGCATTTAATCTCAGGAGAAACCTGTGAAATATTAAGGATATCCCATTTGTGATTGTTCTTTTCTATAAAGCTTGATATGGTTCTTCATATGAGAACTGAATTCTGTTATGGCAAAATAATGTACATGTAATGCACATGAAGATCCAGACAGCTTTATATATTTATATATATATATATATATATATATATATATATATATATATATATATATATATATATATATATATATATATATATATATATTTATTTATATATATAAATGCCTAAGAATTCCGGATCAATTTTAATTCTCATTTAGATTGACAACACAGAGAGAAGAGCAATGATGGCTATATCAATATCCATCAGCTGGCTAAAATGAATGAAAATCAGCACAGAATTCCTAACCGGAGAAGATACAGCGGTCCAGCAGGTGTGAGGATCCCATCAGCGAGCATCCCAGACGAACGAGCCCCTCGGGAGTATCTGGAATGGCAAGAATTTACCGTTAGTGTAAAGAGTATAAGGTTCTGAAATGATCCATTGTGTATGAGCACCTAGTCACATGCACATGAGGGAGCATAAATCAAAAGAGACTCATGCCCTTGACATTGTCTGGTCATCCATTCCTTTACCTATAGATCATTCCATTTATGATTTTTCCCTCTCACAAACAGGCATTCATAAAAGCAGCCTAATGTCAAAGACAGACAGCAAGACAGACGGTGGGTCTGTCCACATCCTCCCTCATTGGTCACAGATCGGAGATGGATGAATGTGACAGCAGAATAAATCAGTTTAAAGAAGAGTAATGGTATACTGTGCCATTTGTTGTGAGTTACCGGTGTCAAGTTGAAGCAACTGGACAGTTACGATAGCCGATTTGCATAAATAAAATCCAGTCTTTTTTTATCATGGTACATTTGGAATATGACAAAAATGTAGTGTGTAATGACATAACTTAGTGCTGTGGCATAGTTTCTCAAACGATCAGTAAAACTTTTTCAACATCTAGAACTTTATTTACAACCAATTTCAGATTTTAATGGGCCTTGAGAGAAAAAATGGCCGATATTAAGAGAAGAATATGACGGAGGTTGCACAGATGCGCACAGCCTGGTGCAAATGAGGCAAAGAACAGGGAAATTGTCCTTGTATTTTCTTTATTAAGCTGATAGGTAGCAGGCAACACTGCCTCTGGAAAACGTGCTAAAAGGGAGAGCAGGAATTTCCACTAGACATTCATCACGCACACATGCGTGTTTTTAGACCAAGCATCTCGTTTTCTATCACCGTTCTGAGCCCTGTTAAAACCCACATTGCCCTCAAAGCACAAACACAAACATTGTCAAGCCCTCAGAGCTCATTACATATACAATCTATATATTTTTGAAGTGTAGCTTTCATACTAATCTGAGCAAAAACTACATGGGGAGCACCGGCTTCAAGCTCTAACCCAATCAAGAGAGATGAATGTAAAGTGAAGGGGTGAGGAGAGAAGGAGGAAAACCTCTGTCGGTCGAGATCACATCATTCCATTGAGATGCAGAGATTAAATTGTGGTTTAGATCTGAAGTCTTGAGACCACAGTGTTAGACTGCTGAAACCAGGAATATTTTTGGTGGTTTGTGTCCATTTTATAGGATAAAAAGATGTCCCCTTAAGGATAGCAAAACTTGAAAAGATTCATGAAAATTTTAAGTGAAACTGTATAATTATTTTGAACTTTCTATTCACCAAAGAAAAAAAAAGATTTAATAAATGTATGTAATGTAATGTAATGCAATGTATGTAATAAAAATAGCAGTAACAATTAATATATATGTATATACATGCACACACACACACACACACACACACGTTTGTGTATTCTTCCACCTTTCTCTTTCTTCAGTGCTCCTCCTCTGCACTTGTCTTTCTCTCTGAATGGAGGAAAGAAATGCTTGTTAAAGGGATGTTGACCTTTTGATAAGGACTAATATGAATAAATGTCAATCAAACATCTCCTGGAAAGAGCACCACACCATGACTTTTGGTGAAACATCTCTGTAAATCATATGGATTTATGTTACCAGACAGCAAAATTATTACTTTATGCATGTTGGCTGACACTTTTAGACAGAAAGCAGTTTCAAGGTAATGGATATGAAGTTCTATTTAAAGATGAGGAGATATTAATCAATGTTTAGGACTCTCATAAACAGAAACACTCATATAAAGTTTCACTCCCATCCCTTTTCTCTCCAAATCTAGCTCTATGGTGTCAACTCTGAAGGAAATAGCTTGATTTCTACCTCTCGTTCGCTCTGAACAAATTATGTACTCCATCCACACTCTCCATCCTGAGGCCACGGTTTCCTGCTGCCTTTTATCTTCCCGACAAGCCTCATTGCTGCTGGAAATCTGACATGAGGAGAGAGAAAGAGTGAGACAACCTTATCTGACTTCTGCTGGCACTCTGGCTCACTGAAGGCCAGGCAGGTGGCTTTGCATTGGGTGGGAGTTTCTCCGGAGGCCTTTAGGAGTCTGGAACCTTCTCCAGATTACTGTGCGAGTCTCACTCAAGGTAATTTATGTCCATGTGAAAGCAAACATGGGTAAAATATCAAAAACATTAATTGTCATGTTTAGAGGTAAGGATGAGTCAAGGACACTGCGGTGAGGAAAAGAACACTAAACATGTGCACTCACAACAAACGCAACACATAGACGAGAGAGCGCAAGGCGTGAGTGAACCCGAACCGCACACTCACACAAAAACAAAAAGATACAAAAGTGTCAGGGCTCTGTCACATAACCAAGAATAAACCAGACCAAAGTGTCAGAACCCCGACATTAATTTAGTTAGACACTGGAGATGTAATTTTAGAGGTTTTTCGAAATCCCTTACTCTAAATGATCCTAAGCGATCTTACGGTTTTGCCTGGTGGAAAATGGGTCACATATAGGTATCATAATATCATAATATATAGACCAGGAGGCGCAAGTATCACACAAATATCGAGTTAAAAGTACCAACAGGGAACAGAAAAATGTGACAGGAAGTAACAGGAAGTAGAATGTCTCAATCTGTTGGACAGTATACTTGCACTTCCGCTTAAATATAATCCGATACATTTAAAACATTCAAAGGAACCCTAGTGAAAGCCAGATAAATATAAATAAACAATATTGAACAGCGAATCGGTTCAAACATTGCTCTAAACTCAATACAGGCCTGTTTATGTCAACAGATCTGCTTTTTAGTTTCTTTAATCCTTCAGCTTCATGCATTAATAAACTTTCTACTTGTATGATTCCCATCTTGCCGAAGGCTAATTAGGTATGAAAAGCTTCATTAACTCTTCTAAATGATAGCTCACCTCAGGGTATGGCCACAGTGTGAGTTTCACAAAACACTTAGTCAGCTAATCATAGCTGAGAGTTTCCTTAGCATTTTGAATTCATTTTAATAGGCTCTCCTATTCCCTTAGCAGTGTATATGCTTGTGTGTGGCCACTGAAAACAAGCACAATTCACATTAATGCGCTATATAGCGTAGCACATTCACAGAAATGCGCTTAATTGCATTCACACACACACACACACAAACATGCACATGACCCAAATCATCCATTGTTTATCATCTGGAAAATTCTCTAATGGTTTTGAGGCTGTCTGCTTATATTAATGATAAATGTATCTGTCAACACTTTTATAGAATGACACTAATTTGTTCTAAAACAAAATGAACAGTGCTAATTGTAGCAAATCAGCTCATGGAAAATATGAATAATTAACCACAACTAGTTATAATTAACTATTCATATTTTAGATCCACTGTAGATATTTAGCTGACCACTCAGGGTCAACCGTCTTGTCAATTCCAAGAACGTTAATTTCCTGGTTAAAGGAAATTACTTTCTTACTGTACAATTCTATAAGTTTGTAACGTAAATCTGCATGATTATTGACTCCGGTTATGAGTAAACAATGAACACGTCAAGTGTGATACAAGTAAGGTTTTATTAACTACATAAACACTTAAACTAGTCTAACATACTACATAAACACATTAAGCCGGTCTAACATACACATACACACACACACACACACACACACATACAGTTGGTATAGGAAAGGGTTAAAGTTTAACTCAGCATAGAAAGAGGCATAAAGAATGGATTTTATGAAACACTTTGCATGTATATTCAACAGATCAAAGCCTTCAGGGAAACATCAGATTCTGAGTTCAAACACACCTTGTAGAAAGGTGTAACTGATACTTAATGCATCAATTAAATCGACTAAGTTTGATACTTGCACGTCTGTATGAACAAAGATTCCTGATGCGATCTTACGGCCCCAAGATCTTGCTGAAGTTGGTTGATGAGAAAGAACCAGTTTGAGTCAGAGTCACTTGATGAATGAAAAGGACTAGGCCGGAGCCCGGCACGAGCTTTGGTATCCTGGAGCGTTTCTCACATCTTCATCTTAGCATCTCACTGAACCACCGAACAGGGCGGGTCACATGGAGTGTGGCCTTTTAAAGCCTGCAGAGATTCACGCCTCTCAAGATGGGTTCGTCCAATGAGGAAGGCTGAAATCTCAAGTGGGAGTTCTGCGTTTTTATGGCCCTTTGTCTCTAAGCATGGTATTTTGCATATGTAATTCACTTGAGTGTTGATGCAGAAATTAGTAATGATTCTTAGAACATCCATATGTTGCAGAGGTATCAGCATGTAATATGCACTCTCAGTTAGATCATCCGAAGACGAATTCATAGATACTAGACATGGTAGAGTTACTTATATGAATGAGTGGTTTATCGTAAGCACGAATAAAAATAGTCTATAATACAACAGATTAAATACAACACAGCAATAATATACACAATGGCCTGAAGAAAATGGGTGTTCATTCAAAGAAGGTTTTCCTATGAATTAATTAGTAGAAAAGTCAGTTTCTCCTGTGCATTTGTGCCTTTCTTATGAGGAAAATGAGGGAGTTTATCCCCTGCATTCCTTTTAGGCCATAAAACCAGTGATATCAGCATTGGTTACCATGGAACCAGAGGCCTGTTCTGCCTTTCTGAGGTGTTAGGTGCATTTCGGGGGAAGGGTCCATAGACCCTCGTAATTGGCCATTTGGTTAGGTGATGGGGAGTTCGATATTATTTGTTAAATATAACAAAAAGTTGTGTGTCTGATTGGTCCAAATGCTACATAATTCCCCCCTTTCGAACGTTGTTGTCCATCCAATAGACAACAGCGAGCGACGTCAAAGGTGCAAAACAACCCAGACACGCCCCTGCCACTCACGGCTGGGAGACAGTGGTGGCTTCTCTGGCTATTGTTGCCTCCAGGAGTGGTTGTGGTGCCAACACACACACACACACACACACACATACAGTTGGTATAGGAAAGTGTTAAAGTTTAACTCAGCATAGAAAGAGGCATAAAGAATGGATTTTATGGAACACTTTGCATGTATATTCAACAGATCAAAGCCTTCAGGGATACGTCAGATTCTGAGTTCAAACACACCTTGTAGAAAGGTGTAACTGATACTTAATGCATCAATTAAATCGACTAAGTTTGATACTTGCGTATGTCTGAAAAAGATTCCTGATGCAATCTTAAGGTCCAAGATCTTGCTGAAATTAGTTGATGAAAAGAACCAGTTTGAGTCAGAGTCTTTGGTGAATGAAAGTCGAGGCCGAAAGGCCTGGCACAAGCTTTGGTATCCTGAAGCGTTCTCTCACATTTTCTTAGCTTCTGGCCGAACCACCGACTGAGGCGGGGCCCTGGAGCCGGGCCTTTTAGGTCGGGGAAGATCTCCGCCTTTCAAGATGGGCTTGTCCAATGAGCACAATGGAATTTCCGAGCGGGAGGTGGCAATTGCTGGAGGGTTTACGACCCTTTGTTCTCGAAGCATGGTAATTTGCAAATGTACTTCAATTGAAATTATTAATGATTCTCAGGGCCCTAATATATATTGCCTATGTACCACCATATAATATCCACGCTTGTTTCGATCATAAGAAGGCAAATTCATAGATACTAGACATGAAATAGTTACTTATATGAATGAGTGGTTTATCGTAAGCATGAATAAAAATAGTCTATAATACAACAGATTAAATACAACACAGCAATAATATACACACTGGCCTGAAGAAAATGGGTGTTCATTCAAAGAAGGTTTTCCTATGAATTAATTAGTAGAAAAGTCAATTTCTCCTGTGCATTTGTGTCCCTTTGTTTCTGGAGAAAGCAGAATGAGAGCCGGCTCGCATTCCACAAGGTTGTAAATGTATCGGGTTACCATGAAACCAAGGTCTTGTTCAGCGTCCTGGGGTGTTACAAAGTATTTGTGAAATCTAGCTAACAAAATATATATTGTGTGTTGGAGTGTTCCAGACGCTACATAATAGACCAAAACAGAAACCATCTACTTCATTCAATTCTCCAATCCAGAATGACTATATATCTTCTGAGGTATATATATATATCTTCTGAGGTAAATATATATATATTTTTTTTAAACGTATAATGGCCACTCTTTTCGATATTATGGAAGTGAATATAGAAATATAGCCAAATGTGGGATTCCAAAATGCACCATAAAAGTGTTATAAAAGTACTGTAGACAAGAACTTGCACACAATTTTATAAATCCGTCTGGTAATTTTGAGTGAGGAAGAGGGTGTCTGTCAATTGAAATCTATCAGGTCTGAATTTTGACATCCAACTTAACTCTATTTAGCTGGTTCACAAAAGAACTAAAGTATTTTGTGATGAACCAGTCCATTCAGTTCACAAAACCATGCGGTTCTCAAGTTCGACACACTAATTCAAAGCTCCAGTCCCCATTTGACCAGTAAATGATTCAACATTTTCCACAGAAGGAAAATCACGAATTTGGAACAACATGAGGGTGAGTAAATTCAATTTTAATTTCTGATGGAACTAATCCCTTAAGACACTAGCTGTTTGCATAAGGCTGTATATGCAACTGTAATTGTTTGATCAGGCTGGTTTGAGTGTGCATTGTACGCAACGGAAATATCTGGTTTCGTCAATTACATGCCACTGCTGAATAGTTTGTTTTATTGGAAATTATTTCTACTTCTCTGTTGCTACACACTGTTGACTGCACATACATAAACAATTGGAGGCAAAAAAAAAATTAATGCCATGTTCTGGCTTGGTTGCAAATACAATTTTGTTGTTGTTTGTTTACTACAACTTAAGGCACGCCAGGTTATTTAAACTGAAGTTCTCGTATTGCTTTTCAAAGCACCGGAGGTACTTGGATATTTTTATGGTTTGGTGTTTTCAAGTCATAGAAATTGGGAAAACCCAAGCTCTTCCACTGGCATTCCTCTGCATTTTTACGATGTGCTTACCAAAGGCAGCACA